GTTTGCATCAGCATTGAAACAAAGTGCCTTGCCAAGGAATTCCACATGTTGAGAGCATGTGGTCCCATATGTCTGCAAACTCTATGCCCCCCCCCTTTCCTGGCAAGCAGGGTTGCATGCCTGGATAAGGATCTGTTATGGATTTTAAAGGGGGGTCTTCTACTTCTTTTTTTCTTAAAATGACAGTACACATTATTTTTTGAATAGTGTGTACTGTATCTGTTTGAAAAACACTGTGTGGAGTCTCCTCTGAAATTCACACCAGAACATTATTGAGGCATGCAGCTTGGATGGCAAGGAAAGGGGGAGCATCAAGTGAGTGCCTCCTCCTTCTTAAGCATATCAGATCCTCAACATTGGCAGATTACATTGCAGGCAGGATGCAAAGAGTACCTTGCATGGCCCCCTGTTCCTTTGTCAGTGATTGCAAGGGCCTCATCACCACATCCCTAGCCTGGTTGATATGGGGATCTGTGAGGGAATGTATTAGAATCTGGAAGCCCCCTTTAGAAAAATGGGGCCACAGATGTCAGTCCCCCTACATGAATGACTAGGGTATATAGTACCCTTTTATTATTCATTCACAAAAAAAGAAATTGTAAATTAAAACAAGGGCACTGTAAAAGTAGTCATTTATTAAAAATAAATTATAAACAATTTTATCCCAATCCACTGTCAATCACACTTTCCAGAAATGCAGATCCAGTGTCAATAATAATGACCAATGACCTGCCCATTTGACCATGCTGCCTTGTTGTGCTACCAATGCCACAAATTACAGCCCCTGGGTGGCTGCTGAATGAAAACAAACTGTCATAATCATATCTGGTGAAGATTGTCACACTGTATTCCTTCCGACTTGTTTACAATTATAAAAAAAAGACTCTGGGAAGCTTTCACTCAGTGGTGGAAGAGATACAACAGCTAAATGAATTACTTTCTGCTGCATCAGCCGGAGGTTCGGCAGTGCAGGTGAACTGTCAAAATTTGTGCATTTTGTTCTTCCGTTCACCAAACTGCAAACAGGTCGGGTTCAGTTCAAACTCCCTGGCTGACATTCAATTCTATCCACTTATACTGGAATCCAAAGCTAATCCCTAATTACAGATTAGAGAGTTACAATTTAAAATATTTATTTTTTTAATTGTCTATTTTATGTATGTCCTTGTGCTGCAATGCATTTGTATGTATTGAAAGCATTACTCAGATGGTTCTGTGAAGTAATACAATGGTCTACATTGTGTTGGCCATAAGCAGTATAGACGACTTTACAATACAGCATGAGTCACTAGTGAGCATATCCTCTCAAGCATACATTGTCAGATAGGGATCACTGAGCATTCAAAAGAGTAGAAATGTAAATGACTGAAAGTCAACTTCATTAATCTTACAACGTGTATAGGGATATTTTTTTTATCTCTGTAGTAATAAAGGTAATCCTTGACCAGTTTAAAATGACCATGGTGACAAATGTGAAATGTGGTCACATAGAGGTGCCTGCATATACTATTGCTTACCTGACAGAGGGATCGATTTTCTAGAAGCAAATAGTCTCTGCACTTTCCAATAGCAGTTGCACTCATTTTTCTCAGAGCTTAGTGAATGTGGTTAATCGTTACTGATTTCCATCATCCAATCACGTGCAAGCAAAAAATGCTGTTTTTTTTATTATTTTCCTTGCACCTGATTGTGTATTCTTTACAAATTGAAGCTTTACCACATTAACTAAGCTGTGGAAAAAAATGAGAGCAAATGCACTTACAAAGTGCGCAGTCTATTTGCCTTTATTAAATCTACCCCACAGCCTATAACGTGTTATAACCACTTGCCCTCCTAAAGATTTACCCCCCTTCATGACCAGGCCATTTTTTTGCTATTCAGTGCTGTGCTATTTGACAACTGACAATTGTGCAGTCATGCAACATTCTACACAAATTATATAATTTTTTCAGACAAATTTGGTATTTGATCATCACTAGATTTTTTTTTTTATTTTTGAGCTATAAACGAAAAAAAATATAAAAAAATATATATTTTTTACTTTTTGCTATAAAACATATCCAATGAAAAAAAATTTCTTCATAAATTTAGGATAAAATGTATTCTGCTACATGTCTTTGGTAAAAAAAAAATCCCAGTAAGTGTATATTCATTGATTTGCATGAAAGTTATAGCATTTACAAACAATGGTATATGTACTGATTTTTTTTTTATATACTAGTAATGATGGCAGTCAGCGACTTATAATAGGACTGCGATAGTACGACAGGCATTCTGACACTAACTGACACTGGGTGGGAACTAACTGCCACTGACATCTCCAGTGACACCAATACAGTGATCAGTGCTAATAAAAAGCACTGACACTGTACTAATGACACTGAGCAGGAAGGGGTTAACATCTGGGAAGATCAAAGGGTTAAGCATGTGTTAGGGAGAGTTATTAGTGTATATTTGTGGTGTTTTACTAGGGGATATGCTGGTTTTAATCTCCCTGCTTTGCAGAGAACTAAAAACCAGCACATCCCTGCTGACAGGAGAGAGATCTTTGTTGTTTACACTCACAGATCTCTCTTCCTGTCAGTTGCTTTGCCAATCGCTGAGTCCCAGCCATAAATTGCTGGCTGGGACCCAGTGATTGACATCTACAGGAGCCAATGACAGTGCGGGTAGGGTGGTGCACGCACCCCCTACCCGGAAATGCGGAATCACGCACAGTATATATACGTGATTTTGCGCAGAGCGGCCACCCTGTAGCAGTGAAAATACTATAGGGCAGTCAGCAAGTAAATAGCAGAAATAACAGAAAAGAACTGTAACTAGCTCCATCTACTGGCCAGCGGTATGAACCCTCCCTACTCATTGTGCAAAAGAATAAGTACTTGTTTTCCAAATATGCTGCCACTTTAGGGGCACTCAAGCAACCGCAGATTAATTTTGATATTAAGGAAAAGTTTAATTTATTCTTAACATAAAAAGAAGAAAGCATATATTTACCGTATTTTCAGGCATATAAGGCAACTGGGTGTATAAGACTACCCCCTAATTTTCCAGTTAAAACATAGGTTTTGGGCTATACGCGCTGTATAAGACTACCCCCCTTCCGAGGCAACACCATTTAAAAACATCAGATTTTTTCATTGAAATGGTTATGACTTACCGGTACTTAAAATCCTTTAAAATCCTCATGTTCATCCTCTGACATCATTTTCATGAATGACATCTTGTGATACATTTGTAAGACAGTCATCATATGGATCAAACTCCAAATCAGATGGTTACCGCTGGATGTGCGGTAATACGGTAGCTTCGGCTACATACAGTATACAGTATATATACAGCTCGCTGGATGTGCAGTAATGTACATACAGTATACCGAGCTGAGCCAAGCTGGCTCAAAACAAATGTCCCTATGACAGATTAATCTGTCAGCCCGCTGGATGTGTGGTATATACAGTATACTGAGCCAAGCTGTTTCAAAACATACGGTACGTCCCTACGGTAATCAGACTGCTGGATGTGTATATGTACAGTAGCTGAGGCTACATACAGTATACGCTGGGCCAATCACGGTGAGTGATGTATTCTACTAATGAATACAAAGCCTGCTCGGATTGGCTGAGGTTGTGACATCATCAGCCCACCTCTCTGACTCAGCCAATCCGAGCAGGCTTTGTATTCATTAGTAGAATACATCACTTGCCGTGATTGGCCCAGTGTATACTGTATGTAGCTGCAGCTACCGTATATACATCCAGCGGGCTGATTACCATAGGGACATACCGGTACGTTTTGAAATAGCTTGGCTCAGTATACTGTATATACCGCACATCCAGCGGGCTGGCAGATTAATCTGTCATAGGGACATTTGTTTTGAGCCAGCTTGTCTCAGCACGGTATACTGTATGTACAGTAATACCACACATCCAGCCAGCTTGACCCAAACAAACTCAAGGTTCACATTTTATACCCCGCGTATAAGACGACCCCCAATTTTTGGGGTATATTTTTAAGTATAAAAAGTAGTCTTATACGCCAGAAAATACCGTACACTTCATAATTCCATACACAAACATTTTATATTTTACCATATTGATCCTAAGAAAGACTGAATCAGGAAAATTCCTAATCTATCATCTTTTTTTTTATTTTCCTGAATATTGGCATAGAGATTTTTCTAGTTTGTGTACAATCTAACAAGGATTAGGATTCAGGAAAATCTTGACTATCTCTGCAGATTGGACAAAACTGCATTTATTCATAGAATATTAAAAAATGTAATTCAGTTATATATCTGGTTTAATATCTTTTTACTGGCCATATGCTGAAAATGAGTTTGGCTGGTCCTCATTGTGGTGAAATTAATGTGGCTCCACTTATAGTGACCTAGAAAGCATAATATTGAATCTAATTAGTTGATAAGCCTTGAAACACATTTGTGAAACATATAAGGCTAGCCATAGAAAGGCAGATATGTTACTTCTAGTAAAGGACAGTGATAAATCTGCTTATACTTGAGCCCTTTGGCTTGATGGACAGATATGGTGCACATCTTCCTAGAAAAAACACGTCAAAAAAACAAAGTCAAAGCTGCTAAGACACACATTAAGCCTAGGCTAACACTTATGCAGTTTTCTGTGAAGTACATTTAACATGGTTTCCTATGGGACAAGTTTACAATGCTTATCTAAGCATTTTCAGCCACTGTGTTTTTTGGAAAGGGTCAGTGACTTTTCTCACAGCAGATTGTGTTTTTGGGTGCAATAGACTTCAATGGGACGGCACCAAAAACATTGTTACATTTTTAATGTTTTTTTTAACTACTAGCTTACAGGACACTTATACTCCCTTCCTGCCCAGGCCAATTTTCAGCTTTCAACGCTGTTGCACTTTGAATGACAATTGCGCGGTCATGCAACACTGTACCCATATGACATTTTCATCATTTTTTTAGACAGATAGAGCTTTCTTTTGGTGGTATTTAATCACATCTGGGTTTTTTATTTTTTGCTAAAAAAAACAAAAACAACAGAAAAATTTAAAAAAAAATTCAAAAAATGTATCTTAGTTTTAAAATTTTGTAAATACGTGATTTTTCTCCTTCACTGATATGCGCTAATGAGGCTGCAGTGATGGGCATGGATAGGCTGCACTGATGGGCACTGATAGATGGCACTGATGGGCATTGATGAGGAGGCACTGGAAGGTGGCACTGATGAGCATTGACAGGCTCACTGATGGGCACTGAAAGGCAGCACTCATATATGACACTGATAGGTGGCACTGATAGGCACTGATAGGCTGCACTGACTGGCACTGAAAATGTGCACTGACTGGCACCGTTAGGCGGCACTGATAGGCAGCACTGACTGGCACTGATAGGCGGCACTGACTGGCACTGATAGGCGGCACTGATAGGTGGCACTGACTGGCACTGATTGGCAGCACTGATAGGTGGCATTGACTGGCACAGATAGGTGGCACTGACTGGCACTGATAGGTGACACTGAAAGGCAGCTCAGATGGGCACTAATATGTGGCATTGATGTGCACTGGTAGGCACTGATATGTGGTATTGATGTGGTATGATGGGCACTGATGGGCACTGGCAGGTGGCACTCATTAGCACTAACAGCTGGCATTTCTGCCCATGATTCTGTATTGCTTAGATGTGTATGGGGCCTTAGTACACTTCATTTTTTGACTGCATGGATTAAATTTTATGACACTGGCTGTCGATCTTCAATTAGCTTCCTAATAGTTTCAGGATTCTTGAGTCCAAAATGACAGTGTCAGGTGTGAGCACAGTTCAAATGTTTTTCCTCTTTGACAGCGTTAACCACTGTTAACCTGTGGACCATGTAAATGATGTAAATGGAACTCTATTTTGCAATACTGTGACCACTGATTGGTCTATGCCTGCATTTAGGATTGTCAATTTAGACTTATTTATCTTGTAGTATGAAATTGTATTGAATTCTTGTAACAACATATGAGTATTTGGCAGAGATTTTTCTGGATCTGACATCATTAAGATAATGTCATCTGCAAATAACGATATAACGTGATGGTGAGGGCTAATTTTGTTACCTGATATATGTGGATGGGTCCTTAAGTTTTCTGCTAAGGGTTCCATCAATAAACCAAATATTAATGGAGATAATGGACATCCCTAATGGGTGCCATTAGTTATAGGAAAACTTTTGTTTTCTGCATATACTCTTGCTGATGGTGACATATGAAGGGCCATGATTGCAGAGTGAATGTACATTTTATGCTAAATTTGTGTAAAGTTTGGGACAGATATCCCCAATGAATATGATCAAAGGCCTTTTCTGTGTCTATGGTAAGGAATAATTCAGGCACTTTATTTTTAGAGATATGGTGTAAAATATTGATGATACGCCTTGTGGAGTCTGGAGCTTGTCTACCTAGAACAAATCCCACCTGGCCAGATTTAATACGTAATGGGAGGAAAATAGCAAGTTGGTTAGCTAGCATCTTAGCATATAATTTTAAGTCAGTATTTAATAAGGAAATTGGTCTGAAAATTTGGGGTGAGTTTGGTTCTTTACCAGGCTTGGGAAGAGCGATTACTGTTGCAGCCAATATTTTTTGTGGGAATGAAATGGATGTCATAGCAGTACTGTACATTCTCTCAATTGTAGGCAATAGTATTCTGCTGACAGTCCACCAGGACCTGGATTTGTTTGAAGGCATCGACTTAATTGTGGATTCATCTCAACTTTTGTGAAGGGTTGGTTTATGGAGCTACATTGCTCAGGGGTTAATGAAGGTAGAGTAACTGATGCCAAAAATGTAGAGATGATCTGAGAATTTGGTTGAGAAATCAGAGGGTCACTCTGCAAGTTATATATAGTTGCTTAGCATGAAGTAAAAGCATTTAGCTATTTACTAGTGGGTTATATATTTTTTGTTTGGTGTGTGGGATGAAAAATAAATGATGGTTTCTGTTTATATGACTTATCTTTAACATAGGACGCTGGTAATTTTCCTGCTTTGTTGCATGTTGGTAAAATGTTTCTTTTAAGGCTTTAAGCTGTATAGTATGGTAGGTAAGTAGTAAAGTTCGAAGCTGGTGTTGAGCCTGAAACTATTTTGGTACTAATAATGGGATTTGGTTGAGATTTATTAATGATTTCTAGATTATTAATTGTGTCAAGAAGTGTATCAATTTGTCGTGACCTCTGCTTTTTAGCAATAGCACTCATTTAGATAAGTTGCCCTCTAATAAATGCATTATGCGCATTCCATAATATTAACTGGTCAGTGACTGAAGATTCAATAAAGGCAAAAAATTCACCCAGTGTTTTAGAGATATTTTCTGGTTGTGACATTTAAATATGTGTTGTTCCTCCACATTTTGCATGATCCGTGTTATTATAATAGAAATAGGCGCATGGTCTGACCAGGAGATGGAGTGAATCTCCGATTTCTCTATGTGTTGCAATAGAAATCTATCAGTTAGCATCAAGTCAAGTCTAGAGTAAGTCTGTTGAGACTGTGAAATATAGATGAAGTCTCTCTCTGTTAATTGTTGGCATCTCCAAACATTATATAGGTGAGAGGTGGTAAGAAAAGATCTCAGTGTAACTATGTATGGAATACATAGTCCCTATTGGAGATGTCGATTGTGATATCTGGAATGGCGTTGAAATCTCCATACAATATTACAGATCCTTGCTGAGTTTTCAGCACTTTTATCCACATTTTTCCACAAGTAGGACAGTTGGAGGAAGTGGGGCAAGTATATGCTGACAATAGTATATATGACATTGTTAATCTTACACACCAGAATTATAAATCTGCCAGAATAATCTGCAGTTGAAGATATCAAAGAAAAGGCCACAGAGTCTTTCACTGTGATCAATACTCCTCTTTTTTGCCTCCATATTGGACATAAAGATGTGTGGAAAGAGTCTATTAGAAAATTTGGGAGGTTTTGATTTATGAAAGTGTGTCTCTTGAAGACGTAAAATATCGCTGTGAAGATTCTGCACTTCTATCTAGAGCATATAACATTTTGCAGGACTATTAAGCCCTTTAACATTTAGGGAGGAGATTTTAAATGTCATCATCCATTGGTAATGTCTAATTCCAGTTCCTATAATTAGATGGCATGGTAGGTATGTTATCGAGCAGGGGTGGGCAACTATGGCCCTCCAGCTGTTGTAGAACTACAAGTCCCATGAGGCATTGCAAAACTGACAGTTACAAGCATGACTACCCAAAGGCAGAGGCATGATGGGACTTGTAGTTCACCAACAGCTGGAGGGCCACAGTTGCCCACCCCTGTTATATAGATTTAAAGGAACATCAATGTTACCTGGTGAATTCTTCAATAGGCGATTGATATCCATGATGAAAGATGATCTTTCTTCATCCGTTCAACCAAAAAGGATGATATAGGATTGGATGCTGTGTTGTAGTGTCTTAGAGTTAGACTTAGTGCCCCAAAACAAAAGGAAGAGAGTTAGTAGACCATAGAGAGAGAAATATTGAAAACTGAACAACATGTTCGGCTAAAGAGATATATTTAAAACAATGGGAATGAACTGAGAATTCACTATGCAAGGGCGGTGTTGCCACAAAAGTGTAGGGGGTGTAACTAGAATCTGTGTTATGTCGTCTAGGTTTAGGACCCGCATGAGGAATTGCTTGTTAGGACTTAAGGCTACAGATGTTTAGCCAGCCTAAAAAAACCTAAAAAGGTTTATGCCATCTTTGGTGACAGTGAGCTTAGCTGGGTGTCCCCAGCAATAGGGAATTTGGTGGTTGCATAGTGGTTTGGTTATTGTGGACAGATTAAGGCATTTTTGTAAGGTATATTGTGTGAGATCTGTGAATAGTTGCAAGCCTTGTAGACACACAGGTGTTTTGTCAGCCCTTCTAGTCAATGCTAGAAATTGTTCCTTGATATGATAAAAATGGATCTTTACTAGTGTATCTCTTGGAAGTCTTTCAGGGAGATGAGGAGGTTTTGGTAGACTATGGATTCTGTCAACAGCCTGTTCTTCAAGGGAAGAATCAGGCAAGGCTTTCACAAATAAATTTGTAAAGTACACTCTCAGATCTCCAGGTTTGACAGATTCAGGAATTCCTCTTATTTTTACATTGTTGCACCTGGAGTGGTCCTCAAGGTGCACTGGTTTGCTTTTTATCCAGCTTAATTCATCTTCTCTATCATTATGGGCATTCACAAGTTCATTGAAAGTTCCTGCAAATTTCCCCATCTTGTTTTCTATGTGGGATACAAGGTCACTCATTTCTTGCATATCTGATTTAAACTGCCGCATATATTGCATAATATCAGATTAAATGGAGCTTCTCAGTGAGAACAGCATATCTTTGAGAATAGTATCCATTACAGGCTGGTTAGTAGTAGGGAATGCTAAAATGGAGTCAGGGAGTTCTCTAGTATCATCCAAAGAATAATCAGAGACACATGTCTATGAAACTGCAGCATTTGCCTGTTTCATCTTTTGCATAGACTTGGCTGGGCTGTGAAATGGGGAGGAAGCCTGTGATGGAAGCCTAGAAAGCCATTTGGGAGCACTGTGTGGTATGCCCTGAAGGTTGCACATTATCCTCATGTTGTTGCTGGCTCCGAGAGGATGAAGAAGGACTGCCCCTTCTGCCATGTTGGCCGGCCCGGCGGGTTGAAAAAGTTGGTAAGTTTCCTGGCTGTGGTGGGTTTTTCCATTTTCTCATGGCCCCCACCTTGTTCCCGCTGTTACAGGACACCTGTGGTGTTGTTTGGGCGGCTGGCTGATGATGGTGATCGCTCTGGTGGGTTCCAGTCTGTCAGAGCTGCAGACTCACATGGCCATCATGGTCTGTGGCTGGCTTCTGCCCCCCCATTTTCCACACTTTTATCCAAAGTCAGTACAGCAGTCCTTGATCTTGTTTTTTTTGTTTGTTTTATTAGGGGTTAACAACTTGGATAGGGTCAAGGGGTATATGTAATGCCCAATGGAACTGTATATCTTTGTAGAACAAACTTCTTAGCAAAAAGGACAAAAATCAGCAGCACACAGTCTTTGCAAGGAGCACTTGTTCCCCTTAGTAAACCTCCTCAGACCCCAGATGAAAATCTCCCCATCACCTGGCTGTCTAAAGAGTGTCCCTGAGCAAGGGATTCCAAGACGTACAAATGAAGTAGTCCCACAGAGTACTAGTTGGGTGTTGTACCTGACCGCCCTCTCCCTTCTTTTGCGCAGGAGGTTTAGAAGTACTCATATTTCCCTGTTCCTGTAGCTTAATGGGTTTTAACTGCTGTCAGAACTTTTGCTGGGCTGGCTCTTTCCCTGCAGACAGGCTGTCTTTCCTAGGTAGATGATGGAACAATGAATTCCTTCTGTCAAGCTTCTGCCTGCAGGCAGGCCTCCTCCTCTGGGGCCCCCTCCCAGGCTCCACACCAGCAGTACCTTCCTCACTTCATCTTCCATCTGACTTTAACTCCCCCCTGCTGATTAGGCTCTCTCATATTTTAAGGGTTCTCTTAACCACCATGCCAGGCCTCCTAGCCTGTGGATTGGCCAGGTTGCCTCAAACATGCAAATCCAGGCCTCCTAGAAAGTACCAGCAATTTCTAGACGGTGGGTTGATTTGAGAAGCCCT